TAGGTGCGCCAGAAACAACTTTGCCCACAGCTTTCTTACATGCTATCAACTCTTCCATCAGGCTATAGTTAGTGTGGAGGCCTGATAATCAATAAAGATTCTGTTTACAATTTACCAACTAAGAAGCAAATAACAGTATATATGAATAACAGTGGAACCTCTCTGTACTTACGTCCAGATGTATCACACAAAACAATATCAAAACCCTGTTCTTTCCCTCGTTTTACAGCCTGTGAAAGAACTATTCAGGAAGCACTTTAAGATTATATGTTAGTAATTACACCATGTCCGAGATTTTTCGATGCCACTATAAGAATAAAAGCAACAAGATTCCACTAGACATTTTTTTCCTACCTGATGATGCTTTAGCGTTTTCTTTTTCAGCCACAACAATCTCACAGCCAGTCCTCTCAGCCCATATCTCAAGTTGATCGCTAGCAGCTGCTCTAAATGTGTCTCCTGCTGCCATCAATATCTGGCAGAGTTCTAAACCATAAGGTGATGGAGATTACAAACACTACTTTTAATTGAGACATGCTCTTTGAAAGTAACAAAACAAAATAATAGTAGGTCTTCAGAAATAGACTTCAGATCCAGTTCCTCCATTATTTCTGACTGCCAAAATACAAGCTCCAAATATCCACCAATTTTGCAAATGCAATATCAGATACCAGAATAGACTCTGAAAACATAATGTATTTTCCTGATATACTTGGAAATATAATCTTAAAGGTTTGATGTCAAGAACATTAATCTCCGCCCCATAACAGTTCTATGACTTCAAGTGGTTGACAAAAACTATTTTCCTACTATACTAGGTCCATACAAGAACATCAAGAGGAGGAGTTATAAGAACTTCGTTATTGCAGATGAAATTCTAGATTTTTTCTTTTTTCTCATGCACGATTTGGATAGATTTATCAAACTGCAATAGAAGCAATGCCAAGCAATAACATCTCACCTTTGCCCCTTCATTCTTTAATCTATAAGCCAGCTTTCCTGCAAGGGGTTGGTCAGATCATCATTTTCTTGTTATAGAAAATAAGGCATAATTTGCTTGCCAACACAGAAAATATAGCAATCCCTATCCCTACTCTACAAAAGTTGCATATTTCATAGAAGAAAGATTACAAGAAACAGCATATTTCAACTAGTTTTAAAATTTCTACTTGAATAGCAATCTATATTGTGACTCACCGAGTGATGTAGTCTTTCCACCTCCATTAACCCCAACAATCATGACCACAGCTGGTTTCCTAAACATCAAAAAGTACCAAAGAATAAAGAACAACTTCATATAACCAAAACAAAACAACACAAAAACAAAAGCCTAAACTGTATTCAGAACCTGAAACCAAGTTGAAGCTCTGTCTTGTTCCCTTTCTTAGTCAAAAAATCCATCACACTTTTCTTCAAAGCTTCCTAATTTATAATAATAAAAATAATAAAGTACGCCTGATAGTGCAAATAATAAATAAATATAAATAAGATATAAATACCTTTATTTCACTTCCAGATTTGAGCTTCCCTGCCAGTATATCCTCTCGCAGGCTCTCCACAATCTTAACAGTAATTCTTGGCCCAAAATCAGAAACCAACAAAGCCTACAACTCAGAAACAAGTAATTCACTTTCTTTTCCCGAAAAATAAATTTGAGGAGAAAACGATAAAGTGGAACAAAATTGAAACCTCTTCGAGTTCGTCGAGGACTCGGTCTGTGTCGGCGAGGTTCCAGTAAAGCAGAAGCTCGTCAATTACGGCGAGGTTGTCTCTGGTTTTGGAGAATCCAGAAAATATCTTTTCCACGTCACTCTTTGCTTTCTCCTTAATCAACCGACCGAGTCGGGTGAAGAATCCGGTCTGACTCGCCGAACATTTGAACCGGTAAGTTGCCGGTCGAGTTTTAGTGGGAGGAGAGATTCGTGTTTGAGGGATGACGAAGCCATGGTGTGGTTGTGAAAGTTTAGAGATGAGCGAGAGATGTGTAGTTGAAGCCATTTCTCTCTTCCGAAAGAAGTGTCAGTCACTGGATAATATGATTTGGAACGATGTCGTTTTTCCACCCTTAATAAAACGAAACCGTTTTTAAGATTACTTTCAAGCTTCAATGTCAGTGTCAGTAGACAACAGAGTCTAATCATCTCAAAAGATAGATAGTCCCAGATTTTTTTTATTGAAATTTTTTAGCAAAACTAAATTGGAATATTAAGTTGTTTATTATCTTCTTGAAGTCTGATTATATTTTGGTATAACTATAAATTTGGAAGAAGAGAAATTAATTCAGTTCTTCTTCTTGTACCAGAAGTTAAAACTGTACTTGTTGAGTTGGTCGTCTTGATCTTGAAGATTCAACTATCCGTGTTGATCTCTGTATAATTCTGTAGCTCTTACATATGTCTTTCCTGCAGCAGTGGGCTGCTTAGTTTTTGCAATGATATTTCCTTTAGGAAAATAATAAAGCCACCGATGATAGTGTACCGAATTTATATACCGAATAACGTGATAAAATCTTGACCATTGATTAATTTTAATTTAATATCAATAAACAGTCAAGATTTTATCACGTCATTCGATGCATAAATTCGATGCACTACCATCGGTGACTGTAGCATTACTCTTTCCTTTATCCGGAAAAACAGGAAGCAATAATGGATGCTTGTCAGCAAGAGTCAAGAAGGAACATGGCAGGAGTGTTTTATCGGCAAAGTAGATTTACCTTAATTGATGATGAAATGGAGGAAACTTTTAATGTGAGATGAAATTCCTGTGTATGGAAGATTCCAGCCACATGTTTGAGAGTTGCCCAGAAATTAATGAAACATGCGGAAACTCACCATGTATCTCCCCCACAGACTTCTTTCATTAGACTAGTGTGTTGATGCCACATGTTGCTTATTTTATCCAAATCCATCCACCATTGACTTAGTCAGTCGCCTATTATATTTATATGCAATTTATTATTTAATACGTTTGCAATTGCGAAGTGGTGATGATGCTTCTCTTCGGCCATATACTTAGAAGATTTTATTATGTAGGCCCATTACCCATAGGACAATCAAAAAGTTTTTTGGTTCGGTTGTTGATCAAATCAAACGGTTAGTTAAGAAATAATAAATATTTTTTCCTATGGATTGTTCCGCCCAACACGGTGCGGCAAGGAAACCCGATCGTGACTCAAGAGTCAAGAGTAACGAGTCTAAAAGAATACACTAGTGATTAGCCGCCAAATACAGGAAAGATCCCGTAACGTGCTGTATTACTCTTTTTTTTACTTAATTAAAATTACGGGTTTAACTATTATGAAATTAATATTTTAAAAATGTATTTTATACATTTTAGATTACAAATTTTAAATTACTATTAGATATTGATACAATGCTTTTTTCTTTATAATCAAAGTCTTTTTTGATTAATTTGGGCGAATTTCAACTAACCCTCAAGATATATTAAACATCTTATTAATTTAATGTACAGATAAATCAATCACTTTATAGGATTTAAACACAAAATCTTTAGATAATTCATACAGATAGCATATTGATACAGCATTATAATATAGTTAAGTCTTTTATTTTTTTTATTTTAAAAAAAAAAAAACTTAACCACCAAGAGGGAAAAGTCTTTTATAAAAGAAAAAATAATGGAAAAATTATTGCATCTAACGTTAATATAAACAAGATGAGGAATAAATGGAATTGGACTTTATGGATATTATTAAATTAAATTAATAAATTTTGTGTANATACTTAGAAGATTTTATTATGTAGGCCCATTACCCATAGGACAATCAAAAAGTTTTTTGGTTCGGTTGTTGATCAAATCAAAAGGTTAGTTAAGAAATAATAAATATTTTTTCCTATGGATTGTTCCACCCAACACGGTGCGGCAAGGAAACCCGATCGTGACTCAAGAGGAACGAGTCTAAAAGAATACACTAGTGATTAGCCGCCAAACACAGGAAAGACCCGTAACGTGCAGCATTACTCTTTTTTTTTTTTTTTATACTTAATTAAAATTATGGGTTTAACTATTATGAAATTAATATTGTAAAAATGTATTTTATACATTTTAAATTACAAATTTTAAATTACTATTAGATATTGATACAATGCTTTTTTTTTAATAATCAAAGTGTTTTTGGATTAGTTTGGGCAAATCTCAACTAATCCTTAACATCTATTGAACGTCCTATAAATTTAATATGTAAATAAGTCAACCATTTTGTGAGATTTAAACATAAAATCTTTAGATAATTCATATAGATAGCATATTGATACAATACTATAATATAGTTAAGTCATTTAATTTTTTTTAAAAAAAAAAAACTTAACCATGGAGAGGGAAATTTTTTTTATAAAAGAAAAAAAATTGCATCTAACGTTAATATAAAAGATGAGGAATAAATGGAATTGGACTTTATGGATATTATTAAATTAAATTAATAAATTTTGTGTACTGCGGAATAGTATAATATTATTACAAGTTATAAATTGGACCACAGAAATTGTAATTTTACTTCCTAGGATAGTTGGTTGAATTTTCCCCGAACAGATCTACACGCCACGTTTGAATTTCAGAACGATATCCCCGGAATTCTCTAATTATAAAATGTTTCTACAGCGCAGTAAGAGAGACCCACGACCACGAGGGTGGAGTCAAACTTTACGTTGCCCTGTCTTTTACGACATTCATATGTCATTTCACCGTGTATAAATGAGATCGGCTGCATAATAGTACTTTACTTTTCTTTTCTTTTAAAACGGTCAGAATTATTAAAGTACAGAAACAACGTATCTATTTCTTTCGCCTTTCTGGTGACCTTCATCGCCATCAATATAAAAGCACAAGCTCTCTATTTACTTGATTTCATCAATTCAATTTCCTAAACACACACATAAGCCCTCTTTTTACTTGATTTCATCGATTACATCTCCCAAACATACTCATAATTACGAGTATATAGTTTTGTGCTTACGTTGCATTACACTACCGGTTCAAAAATGGAGGCTTCGTCTTCTCGCAAGGTAGAAATCACAGTCTTATCTGCGGAAAATCTCCGTCTTAATAAAAAACTGGTGACAAAGAACACATTCGTCATCGTCCAAACTGATCCTTTCAACTGCCATACAACAAGAACCGATACGCTAGGAGGAGGGTATCCTTCATGGAACGAGAAGCTTGTTATCGACTTGCCCATGCATGCACGCTATATCTCTTTAGAAGTACAGACCAAGAGTTCTTCAGGGAACAGAAGTATTGGATTTGCGAAGATACCAGTATCTGATTTTACTGGAGGGTATGTACCAGAGAGTTATTTGCACTTTTTGAGTTATAGATTAAGGGATGCTAGGTGGGAGAAGAATGGGATAATCAATGTCTCAGTGAGAGTAAAGACGCCAGGATACGCAAAGAGTTCGTCTAAAACAGGATTGAAGGAGACAGAATACCCATCGTTTTCGTCGCAAGCTTCAAATAAAAAAGTGCAGGGATATGGGTCTTGTTCATTACAGGTTACAAGGCCGAATGTGCAGGGATATCCATCGTTTACATCGTCGGTCACAGGGCCAAATGTGCAGGGATATGCATCGTTTTCATCTCAGGCACATTTAGGAGTTCCGGTTGGTGGAGTGGTGAGGGGTGTACCTGTTTGGGGTACAAATCGTGCATAAATATTATTTGATATATCCAAGGGATTATGAAAATTGAGAGGCCTATATACATACATACGTACAACAGCATATGAAACATAAAGATTTATTTTTATTTTTCGACAAAAGGATTGATGATTGTAATTATTTTACAGAAAGGAATTCTAGCTATTGCTGGACTGCATCTGTAATTGGTGTCATAATTGTTTGCGATTTCTGCTATGTTAACAAATTCATTCTTAATTATAGATGCTGCCTATGTTTTATTGCATGCAGTTTGGATGGTATGAACTTTGGCCCAATGAAATATTTTCTCTCACCTTTTATCAGTTATTTAAAAAAATTAAATGGAGGGGAAAAGAGACAGCCAGACAGGAGAGCATCTAGAGAATAGTGTTCATGCAGAATTGTAATAGTGGTGGTATTGTGTCAACACATGACATGCTAAATGGAAAGTTGACAAAGTCATAATAACATGTTAAATGAAATAAGGTTGACTGACTGACATAGTCAAAGCTGACTGACGTATTCCCCTTTACGTTTATGATGATGTCGACAGGATGAAAATAATCATCGGTTGATTTTTTTTTTTTTTTTGGTTAAGGAAATTCACTGTATAACATTGATCATGACATTAAAATTATAAAAGTACCCTTAAACGAATTTAAGTTTAGTGAAATTGGTTTTGTTGTGGTAATATTATAACGATTATCGCGTGATATTTATTTTTCTTTAAAAAAATAAATAAATAAATGGCCTCAAATTAAGAATTATGCTTCGTTTATAAACGTGTTTTTCATGAAGACATCCTCGTATAGATTACAGACAGGCCCTAGTCTCGCAAGAAATCACTGGCAAACAAACTGTAGTGCATTTGAATGGGTCTGTCAAAAGTAATCCTAACTTTAAGCCACGTACAAGTGGCATCCCATCTTAATGAGACCTGGAGCCAGCAAGGCAATAACGCCGAAAGAAAACACGTTAGCTGATTGACATTAATCATGAAATAGGTAACCGATAAGTCGATAACCCCAACTAATACGAAAAATAACTATATAAAGTATTTAGAAGAGAGAAAATTGGGGAAAAACACTGTATATTATATCGGGTAAAGAAAACAATCTGTACACTGTCTTTTATATTTACAAACTAACTCTAGTTAATAACTAACCAAACTTGTAACTAACTCTCTTAACAATAACAGTAACAAACTAACAAACTAACTAAAACTGTTACATTTAAACAAACTAATAAACTGAATTGTACATGTTAACACCCCCCCTCAAGTTCGAGGGTGGTAGAGGTCAAGCACACCCAACTTGTTTAACAATCTGGAATGCAGTGGACTAACAAGAGCTTTAGTGAGCAAGTCTGCAGGCTGTTCAGATGATGGAATATAGGCAGTGGTAATGACTCCCAATTTAAGTTGTTCTCTCACAATGTGACAATCAATGTCGATGTGTTTAGTCCTCTAATGGAAGATGGGATTTGATGCAATGTGATTAGCAGCTTGGTTGTCACAATGAAGAGGTATAGGAAGCAAATCAGTAAACCCAAGTTCCTGAAAAAGTTGAATCAACCAAAGTAGCTCACATACAGTGGAGGCCATAGCCCTATACTCTGCCTCTGATGAAGATTTAGAGATAGTGGCCTACCTTTTAGATTTCCATGAAATTAAAGACTTGCCAAGAAAAATGCATTACCCTGTAACTGACTTTCTTGTCATGAGACAGGATCCCCAATCAGAGTCACAAAATGCTGATAAATTCATAAGATTGTCAGCTAGAAAAAAATAGACCTAAACCAGGAGCAGACTTAAGATATTTCACCACTTTAAGTGCTGCAGTCATATGGGATTGTTTGGGACTATGCATAAACTGACTTAAGAGATTGACAAAAAAACTTAAGTCTGGTCTAGTCATGCATAAGTACAACAACTTACCCACCAGCCTTTGATAAACAATTGGATCAGCAAGAGGGGGATCAGGACCAGCAGGAAAAAGGTCATCATAAGCAACTGATGTAAGTTTCAAAGTAGAATCCATAGGAACTGCAGAAGGCTTGGATGCAGACAAATCTGATTCAGATATAAGCTCCAAAGCATACCTTCTTTGACATAAGTGAATACCCTTGGAAGATCTTGCTACCTCTAAACCCAAAAAGTATTTTAGAACACCCAAATCTTTGAGTTTAAAATGAGAATGCAATAGCTGTTTGGTGGAATTGATCATGTCAATGATATCCCCTGTGAGAACAATATCATCTACATAGACTAAAACCAGCATAATATGAGAATGCATCCTCTTAATGAATAAAGAATAATCAGCTTTAGATTGAGTAAATCCTCCAGAAAGTAAAGCTTGAGTAAGCTTGTAATTCCAGGCTCTAGATGCCTGATTAAGTCCATATAGAGACTTGTGTAACCTGCAAACTATAGGTTGCCCCCTTTGCTGCCCCCCCTGCCTTGCAAAACCTTGAGGCAAAGTCATGTAAATCTCTTCTTGTAAATCCCCTTGCAAAAATGCATTATCCACATCCATTTGGTAAAGTGGCCAATTATGCATGGAAACAAGTGACAAAATGGATCTAATGGTAACCATTTTAACAACGGGAGAAAATGTTTCTGCATAATCCACACTTGCAGTTTGCGTGTACCTTTTTGCCACCAATATTGCCTTATATCTTTCCAAGGAACCATCAGCATTATATTTGAGTTTATAGACCCACTTACAACCAATTGGATTCTTGCCTTGGGGTAAAGGGACTAAGGACTAGGTTTTATTTCATTCCAAAGCTTGTATTTCCTTTTGCATGGCAACTACCCAATTAGGATCCTGAGAAGCTTTATTAAAGGAAGAGGGTTCCACTAGATTGAGATGAGATAAGAAGGCTTGGTAGCTTGGTGAAATATGACTATAAGATACAAAATTAAAGATAGGATATGGGATGCAAGTGGCTGAATTTGAAGTGGAAGGAGAAATAGATAGACATACAAAATCTGAAGTCCAGATAGGGGGCCTTGTAAGTCGATTGGATTTCCTAAGAGGGATGGAAGGTTGAGGTGGAGAGGAATTAATAGATGGAGAGGGAGGTCCTGTAGGTTCTGCATGCTGGACAACAGGCAATAAATCGACTGATAAAGGGACAGTAGGGGTTGTAGTTGTAGAAGGTAATTCAATATCCAAAAATTCAGGATCAAAAGGAAAAGGTGATGATGGAGATGTGGACCAAGTGAAAGGAAAAATGGTCTCATGAAAAAGAACGTCTCTAGTGACAAAACTTTTATGAGAAGAAATATCATAAAGAAAGTATCCATTTTGAGTCAAAGAATAACCCAAAAAGACACAAGGGGTAGATCTAGGTGACAATTTGTCCTTAGGGGTGAGAATGGTAGCATAAGCTAAACAACTAAAAACCTTGATGTGATCTAATGAAGGAGGGTGACCAAAAAATCTTTCAAAAGGTGATATATCTTTGAGAACTGAGGAAGGAAACCTATTTATAAGGTAAACTGCTATTTGCACACAATAACCCCACAAATGATTTCTTATATTGGACTGAAATTTTAAAGCCCTAGCTACTGCAATGATGTGTCTATGTTTCCTCTCAACAACTCTATTTTGTTGAGGGGAATAAACACATGAGCTTTGATGGACAATGTCTTTACTGAGAAATAGATCATGGCATTCTTTATTAAAAAATTCAAGGCCATTGTCACTTCGAATGCATTTCGGAGTACAATGGTATTGAGTTTCTATCATTTTAAGAAAATGTTTAATGGTAATGAAAACTTCAGATTTGCATTGCATGAGAAATAACCAGGTTACTCTTGAAAAATCATCAACCAAAGTAAGGAAATACCTAGCATTTCCATGTGTTGGAATCCTATGTGGACCCCAAACATCTACATGTAACAAATCAAAAATACAATTAGAAATTGAAGTACTATGATGGAATGGAACCCTAGTTTGCTTAGCTAATGGACAAACAATGCAGTGAGGAGGATTAGAAACATCAAAATCCTTATGCACATGATGTACTATTGTATAAGGAACATGTCCTAACCTTTGGTGCCACAATTCAGCACTATTAGAAACATTTGCAGCAAGAAATTTTTTTGGAAATTTAGAGTCTTTATTTAACTGAAAATGACATGGTACATTATTAGTTGAACAAAGACTTTTTGAAATATTGCAAACAGCTTTATGCGAAGCATTTATTGACATTATTGATTTTTGTGAATTGGAGTCAAGAAAATATAGGCCTTTGCTTATGCTTACCAATCCCCTTCAATTTGCCACTGTAAAGGTCCTGAATTAGACAAAAATCAGGGTAAAAATTGATAGTACAATTATTAGAAACTATAAATTTGGAGACGGAAAGCAAATTGTGTCTAAAGGTTGGTATATGCAGAAATTTTGAGAGATGTATGCCATTGTCCAAAATTGTAGAACCTACATGTGCAATATGACTCTTAGTGCCATCAGCTAAACCTACAATGGATTTTGAAGAAGGTTTTATGGCAGTGGGAGACTACAGAATATTAAGGTCATAGGTCATGTGATCAGTGGCCCCTTTATCTATGATCCAAACATTTTTATTTGAATCAGGCAATGTAATATCATGTGTACTATTAAAGATACCTGCAAGGTTTGCAACTGAATGATTTGTGGAGGTTACATTCCTGCAAGGTTTGCAACTGAATGATTTGTGGAGGTTACATTCTCTTTTCCCAGCAGCTCCAGAATCTGATTGTACTGCTCCGATGTGAAAACAGGTCCGGTTGGAATATTAGGAGACTTTGCATCTGTCGTTTCTGCAACTGTTTCTTGTGATTGCACTTGATTAGCAGAGTATTTGGATTTTGAGTTCCCCTTTCCTTTTGTAAATTGATAATCTGCTGGATAACCATTCAACTTGTAACAATTGTCACGTTTGTGACTAGGTAGGTGACAATAATCGCATTCAATATAAGGTTTCTTTCCCTTATATCTCTGCCATGGATTATGATTTTTACCATTATGAGCACAGAGTGTTGTAGTTACATCTGCATTAGTATTCAATCCTACTAGAATCCTTTGGCTCTCATCTTGATTCACTACGGAATATGCTTGTTTCACACTCGGCAGGGGATTCACCAACAGAATTTGGCTTCTGACCATAAAGTACAACTCATTCAAACCCATCAAAAATTGCAATAACTTTTGTTGATTAAGGTGTTCAAGATATGTCTTTGCGGAAGCATTATTTGGAGCAGGAAGACTTACCATAGAATCCAATTCGTCCCATAACGACTTAAGTTTGTTAAAATAAATTGCCACAGTGTTGGTTCCCTAGGTAAAATTCACAATTTCTCTATGAATACCAAAAACTCTAGTGCCATTCACTTTGTGATATTGTTTTTTTAGATCCTGCCAGACTTGTGAAGCATTGGTTGAATACACAATCCCGTTGAATATTTCTTTGGTGACTGAATTAAAAATCCAGGCAAGAACCAGAGAGTTGGACCTTTCCCACTATAGAGCTAAACAGTTATGAACTGAAGGTTTGGTGTAAGTTCCATTAACAAAACTGAGCTTGTTTTTGGCACATAAGGAAACAGTCATAGCTCTGCTCCAAATACCGTAATTTTCTGTTACTATGAGCTGTTCTGACACTAATACTGACCCTGGTGTATCAGATGGATGAACGTAGAGGGGCGAATTTGAATCAATCGACTGTATAACTGATTCTTCTGCCATAGCTGATCTCACTGCTTCCAAAATCTACAACTCAAAACTGAACAAATTGACGAATCTTACGCCTTTTCAAGCTGAACCAGAAGAATATAAAGGTTCAATCGAACCAATTTCTGGAAAAAATTTGCAGGAAATCTCCTGCTCTGATACCATGTAGAAGATAGAAAATTGGGGACAAACACTATGTATTATATCGGGTAAAGAAAACAATCTGTACACTGTCTTTTATATTTACAAACTAACTCAGTAAACTACTAACTGCAGTTAACTAACTCTAGTTAATAACTAACGAAACTTGTAACTAACTCTCTTAACAATAACAGTAACAAACTAACTAAAACTGTTACATTTAAACAAACTAATAAACTGAATTGTACATGTTAACAAAGTATTATTAATATAGAAAGAGTAACCGATCATTGTGGAATAAGTTGTGTAATGACAAATGCAAATGGAGTAGATCATATTAAAATGTTAATGTTTGATTTTGACACAAACAACTTTGTACGTGTAAAGTGCTAAGAAGTTAAATGTGAGCAAATTATCAAAAGTGTCTGAAATACTGTGATGGCAGTTGCATGCAAGTGTATAAAATAAAGTTGACAAGAGAGTTTTTATAGTGGTTTGTATGCTTATAAACGACTCCTACATCCATTGTGATTTGTATTTGTAAGTGTTCTTTTCTTGATCGTTACACAGGTTTACAAGGGTCACGATCTGGGATCTATGATTACAAGTGTTTGTGTTATGAGAGAATGTTAAGTCAGTCTCTTTCTAGTAGTGTTTTTGCTATTTGCTTTGTCTAATTTGTGTGTCTCTAACCTCCATTTTGTGAGGGGGAAGCTATCTATTTATACCTGTTTTACTCAAGGTAATGAGTGGTTTTTGCAAGTAGTCTGGTGGCGCGAAGATTCTTCATGTCTTCCCATTCATTGAGGACTTCCATGTATATCTTTAAATTAAATTGGGCTTGAACAGGCGTACGAACCAAATTAACTTATGCACCAAATTCATTCTTGAGACGGTTTGGGTTTTGACAGCTAATATTCTTATTATCTTTGGGTGCGTGTCGAATTCTAGTTAGTGAAGAGATCTGTTAAATCATGATTGGTGGAGATGACGTCAACGCGTGTCAGCCCTTATTTTTAGGCATAACAAGGTGTAAACGTGTAGAAAGAATAAGTAAATTTGAGTTGAAATGTATTATCAAAAATTCAAAATATTATAGGTGATGGAAAAATCAAATATCCAACTAAGGATACGAATTGGAATCCTTTAAATCCATATTTTCTAAAGAAAATAATAATTATATTAAAATTAAAAATTGATTAGGTAATATATTATAATTTTGGTAAGACTGAGTAAAACTTTTCCAAAGCAAGTAAATACGGAAAGTGTGGAATTAGTTCCTCTTTAAAGTTGTTGGCGTGGGCCGCGTGGCCTCTATTGAACCATCTGGGATCCTTCTCACTTCCTTCTTTCCGCCTTCGTAACAATAATACTACTCATATAAGAGACCGAGTGGAGTAATATATTTACGTTGCATCACGCATATTTGTGATTGTAAAACTCAACATGAACAACTCTTCCTCGCGCACGTTAGAGATCAGAGTCTTGTCAGCGGAAGACCTACGAATCGGTGGCAGATCTGTAAAAAAGAATGCTTTTGCGATTGTCAAGGTCGATCCTTGGAACTATCAGGGGACAAAAGTCGATCCTCTTGGAGGAAGTTATCCTAAATGGGACGAAATTCTTGAGCTCATTTTGCCTGTGGGTTCCACTTCTCTAACCCTGGAAGTACAATGCAAGACTTCTTCAGGTGATAGGCTAATAGGGACCGGAAATTTACCACTTTCCGATATTATTGAAGACTACACTCCAGAGCATTATTTGCGATTCTTGAGTTATATTCTAAAAGATACAAAAGGGAAGAGGAATGGAATTATTAATCTGTCCGTGAGAGTTAAAATGCCAAAACAGGTGCGTTCTTCGCAAGGAAAACCCAAGGTGCCTGATTATGCAGCGTGTTCATCCAATGCGGAGTTGAAGGTGGCAGGATACCAGAGTTCTCCGGCGCAAATGATTGAAATCCCTATCGGTAAGAGGAAATTTGAGGGAGCTGTGATTGGGGTTCCAGTTTGGCCACCAAATCATGACTAAATGTTTTTGGTCTAGATAGGAAATTTTTTCAAACACTAGTAAAGATTTTACTTGTTTTTTTTTCCTGTGGTATGCTGACTGGGCAACTTCAATTTGAGCATATAATTCCATTGGGGTTTCTTTGAATTTGTTGTAAAAATGATAATTGGTTTCCTTTATATTTGTTTGAACTGGTGAATGAGATGATCTAATCATGACTTTTTCTGTCTCGCTGCTTATGGTTATGACCAATGTTTTAAAAACCAATCTGAGGTTAAACCCGACAAAGAAGTCGGGTCCAGGGTTGACCGGTTTAATCGGTCAAACCGATGATGTGTCATATAAAAAAATTCAAAATTTTTGTTTCAGTTCACGTTAGCATGGTGATTGTTTCTGACGCACATTAACACGCATCGACGTCGACCTCTTTTTCCAGCTGTTTTCTCACCCAAAATCACCCTGTCACCAGCATTAGAACCCTCACCCTCTCCTTTTCAAAACGATACTCTTTATCCCCCTCTCATCACTCATCGGTCGTTGGCCATGGCAACAATGTCAATCGATTTTCATTTGCCGATTTTTGACCATTTCGAGTGATTCTAACCACCACCACCACCCTTAGACTCACCAGCAACTCCCCTACAAAACCCCCCAAAGTTCCCAAGCCATTCCGCCCACCTAATTGCTAGCAATTAGAAGCTAGGATTTCGCAATTTCTTGGCCAAATTCTAGCGATTTTGATGACCAAAACTTAATTGGAAACCACCTCCCGACTCACCGTAATCAACCCTTCAAAACCCCTTAACCCTCATTCATGTTTTCCCACTAAACACTAGTCGAAAGTCACCTTGAATCTGAATTTTGATTCACCCAATTTCCCCCAAAATCGGTTGCACTAGCGGTTTGCTATAGCAACCCCGACCCAACCGCGGGTCATACAGAGTGAACTAAGGCCCCCAGTTTTAGGGCCGACCTAGCCGGTTCCTGGTCGAATCGATTAAACCAGCCGGGTTTTAAAACAATGGTTATGACCTTATGGTTTCAGCTTTGGCAGAGACTGCTTTGAGTTGTATATAACTTGGCATTTTTAAAAGAACAAGATAAAAAGTGGAATCATGTAAAGGATATGTTATTGTACGCTGGTGAGGCTTGGACAAAAATTAAGTAGACAATAGGCATTAGTTTGAGGATTTCAACGAGGAGATTATTGGGAAAAATAGTACGCTGGTAGTCAGGATTGTAAATGATGTTTTTTCTTTTTGTATATGCTGTATTTTTTTTGTTCCTGGGAATGTCCAGGACGCTTAAACTTTTGTAGAGACTCTTTGGGGTCTCATTCTTTTTTTCTTAATACTATTTCCATTTACCCAAAAAAAAAAAAAAAAAAAAAAAATAGTGTTAAGACTAGGCTGTGAGGATTTTGACGAGGACAAAAGGTCAAAAACAGTGTTCAGAGAGAGCGAAAATACCAAAGAAGCATTTGTCGTATAATGGCTGAGTAAATGAACTTCGAACATCCAAAATTGAGCAGTGAGGAGGATTCCGCGTTCATCAACAACATCCAATCTCGATGAGAATAAGCGCATCTGAGCACATGCCTTTTTGTCCGTCATTGCTGACTGCACTATGCCACTGGCTCAGTGGTTGAGCAGTAATCTATTCTTCAACAGGGACGAGCTGTTATCGTGAGTATGATTGCACTATTTTGATTGTAGGGTCCATCGCCAACATCTAATTACATAATGAGATCAGGCGCATCTCAGCTCTTCTTTTATCATATACCAACACTTACTGATGAAGATAATAAGGCACACGGAAGCATCCCAACAGGCGCCACTGGTTTAGTGGATGAATGGTACGGTATGGTATGCACTCCTTAAACAGTGTTCGAATTTCGAACAGCCTTTGAGCTGTGATGATCATCGTGCTCATGTGATGGTAGGGTCCATCACCAAAGTCTGATCAAATTGATGAGAAAAAGCATATCTGAGCTCTCTTTTCTTTTTTCCTCTCTTTTCAAAAAGACTAAAAGTTAATGAAACACTGCAAAGTGCTACTACTGAATTTTGTTTTATCGCATACAATATGTGAAGATACAATAACGCACATAAATAGTTGAGACACTGCAGAAGTGCTACTACTGAATTTTTGTTTTATCGTATACAATTACAATATATTAAGATACAATACACTACGCACATAAATACAAGAGGAAAATAACAGTATTTACAATGAATACAAAATTATACCATTTTCTCATAACCTAGCATACCAACTAAGATATATAATCAATATACATACAACACTTAGAAGTAGTAGAACAAAGCAACACCTGCTAATAGGCTGAAACTACACAACTTTGCAATAAGGCTGCCTCCAGGACTCGAGGTCATGGTTCCCAACAAGATACCACATGCATTCACGCATAATAGACAGCCATCAAAGAAGAGCTCTATTCACAGTCAAATGTAAAACCTGAGTTACTATACCTCTTCGCTGCCTCTTTGGTTGCCACTTTTCAGAATGTTGAACTTGCAAAGAGGACAGGTTGCATTAATGTATAGCCACTTGTCTACACAAGCACAATGGAAATGGTGACAGCAGGGAAGCTCACGCAGTTCAGTTTCATCATCATAGGCAGAAAGGCAGATGCAACATTCCTATCATTTACACGAAATATTTGCGTAAAAAATATGGTAAAAATATCCACCAAATGGCATGAATATTATTCATTAACACCAAAACTTAAAAGGGTATCTGATGAGACCCTTAGTGTGCTGGTCTATTGCAGGAAACATAAGGTTGTGAGTAGGGGATTTTGGTGATGTTGGCAGGAAACTTCCATGGGTTTAGGCTAGGACAGGTGGCGATTAAGGGTTGGGACAGCAAAGGAATTCAGTTAGGGGGAGAGAGAGAGAGAGAGAGCTGGAGGATAAAAAGAGAGGGAGAGAGCAGATTAGAGGACAGAAGAATATAAGGAAATTTGGGAGGAGCTACCCTCAAAGTTAGCAATTAGGGAGGAGCTGGCCCTCAAAGTCCAGCGTTGTTTTTCCTTTCATATTTTGATTTTGTCCTTTTGGGTTGATGTGCTGGGTATATTTTGTTGTGTGCTGCCATTGTTATCAGTTTGTTGAGTATCAATACACATATCTATTTTCTTCCTATTTTTTGGCTGTTGGCTGTCATTATTTTACTGTTTTGTTGAGTTTTGGGAGTGGGTTCTCATCAGTATCACATTTAAATGTAATAGTATTAGATGGCCAACATAAGCTGAATGTCAATTTTGAAAGGGAAGGAAAGAAGTACCAAAAAAAAGGTCCCAAAATGACAGGGTCTGCTGCCAACAATTATATTGCAAATAGCACTTATTTATATTTCAATCTGGAACCTTAAAGAAAATAAGAGTTGTGTGCAATTATTGGTTTTGAGTTGCCAAGCTGCTGCTAGAGCCATAGGCACAAATACCATGCTTTGCAAAACCAAGAAGCTAAGATATTTCCATAAACATTTTAAAATCTTTGAAAAAACTATCAAACGATATATAACTGCACCAAGTTACTTACAGCATCCTCATGGGAAAGAGCATGTTCTGTGGGTGTATCAGTGTCACACTCGATCATTATTCCACCAAAAGATTCTTGAATTTCACCATTAACTTTCTGAAAATCGCCTAATCTCCGGAATTTATACTTTGGCAATCGATCAACCTCTTCTTCTGTGGCTCCTTCCTGTTTTCAGGTAGAATGTAGACAAATTCAAGTAGGGATATTCAACAATGGGGAACAGATGAGGTCAATAGAACTTAATAGAACAATTCCCAATAGGCAAACAAATGAGGAGAATCCAAAAAATCAAACAGCATAGCAATTAAAAGAGAGGAATATTATTTTAAGTACGTGCCACACCCATGATTCGACTTACCAAATGGCCTTAATTAAGCACACAATTGCCCAATGCTCCAAGCCAATGGCAATATCGTAAGAAGGTGTAATCTGAAATCATTCATGCAAAAATATATGCTTCCCAACCAAAAACATGCCAAGTTCTAAAATTAATTAAGGTGATCACTACTTCAAATTAAACAAATACATCAATGTAAACATGCAATTAGTATTCCAAGAACAAGCACCTCTTTCTTAATCAGGCAATGAAATGTTCAAATAGACACATAAAACAGTAAAATATGCACAGTCATGAATCTGGGGCAGTATAATATATTAATATATTAGCTCATGAAGCACAGATTCAGCCACTCTTTAACAGGAAAATTTGAACTCAAAAAAACAATTATAGAACTCTTAAAAATTTTCAAAGTGAATTACCCGCTCTGTCAAGGCATATAGTATTCCAAGTATACAAGGAAGACAGCAACAAACAGCAATACCAATTAGACATGCCACCGCAACACAGAGCATAACAAAGACTACATCAAACGCAAGGAATATTACACAAAGCCTGCAAAACAAACCGATCTGATTAGTAGCGTAAATCAATAATTAAATAAAAAGAGCTCAAAAATCAAAACACTTAAAGAATATTCTATTAAAGCTAACCAATAAAGCTGCGGCGAATCACGTGTCAAAGATTCAGCACTAGCAGTTATCCAGTAAAACCCAATGATCCACCATAAAAATGAAAACATAGTATTTGCAGACTCCAAATTCTTTGCAACACTGCAGCCATACAAATAAAAAGACAATTTAACAAAGCCTTGCTAATTAAAATACAATGAATTAATTAATTAATGAAAGAAAACAATTAAAAAGAAAAAGAAAAGAAAACTTGTCAGTTATACCTGGTTCCATCCTCAGTGTGAAGGTGGTCTTGTTCGTAATCTTCAGAATCAGCACCCTCACTACTGGACCCAGAAACCGAATCACTAAAAACCAAATCTTCCCCTTCACGCCTTCTTTTACATTCTAAAAACACGCAAAAAACGTGAAACATACATTGCAAAGCATAGCCAGCAATCCACAACCTTAGAGGCACTTTAGGATTTTCGTTTATACCCAAACCCAATACCGCAACAGCAATTAATACAAATGCTAAATTCCACATAACGTCAAGAACTAAGATGGGCTTCGAGTAGGCCCAGTCGCTTTGACGCTCTTCCAGCTGTTCCGCTGCCGTTTCTCTGACGCGCACAGACGGCTCTCGCAGCATCATGCGACGCCCGCTAGCGCGTCTGAGGAGACGCGCGGCGACGCCGCGCAGAGGGGGAGGCGGACGACGGAGGAGGCCGCGGCTTCGGATGAGGTGGTCGGGAATTGAGTGGGTTAAAAATGGTGTGGTGTCGAGGTTATCGTGTGGAAGAGTTGGGGAGTGCATATTGTGAACAGAAAGATAGAAATTGGATTAGGGTTTAGAGAAGAAAATGAATTGGTTTGAAAATTGGTGGGAGGAGAAGAGATGAGACGAAGAGGAAGAGGATGGTATATAATTCAATTAGACGCAGAAAATAACAAATAAAGAGGGTTATTTTCGGGGTCATTTATGTTTTTTCCCGGGACCAACTTTACCCACCTCATGCTCTTTTTAATATACCTTCTACTCGCGCTTGCTTGTTAACCCACTATAATATTTTACTCTCACAGACTTCTTTCCCTTTACCTTTTTTTTTTTTATAAAATAACAAACTTATATATATAATTTATAAAAGCAATTTTATTTTCATATTTCTAAGGCAAATGCTAACCAATTTTTTATGAATCATTAATATGTTATAATTTTTTAATAATTTATATCATATTTTAAATAAATTATTAATTATCCCTGTCAAAAAAAATTAAAAAAAAAACAATCACTGGATGATCTAATGATAAAACAGCAAATAAGAATATGAATTTATATGGTATTTCGAGTTTAAGTCCCCATAGCCCCTAATAGGGGTGATATCTAAAGCTTATACCTGACGGTAATTATAAGGTTTCAAGAGAATAGTTGAGATGTGCGCAAACTGACTCGGACAGTCTCTATCATGAAAAAAAAAAAAAAATAGGATTTATTTATATGTTATTGGAAAATATCAAGTATTTTATCAAAAAAATTAATACTTTTATAAAGATTTTTACATGTTTTTTGGTATTGTTATGGGGATTTTTATCAACTACATAATATAATTTATTAATAAAGGTATATACATTAAATATAAAAGGATTGTGGAAGGAAGTAAATCTCTTAAAATATTAGTATTAAGGGTGCGTTTGATTTAAGAAATATTAATGGCCAAACCCATTAATCTGACATCTAGCCATTTCTAGCCAGATTTGCTCCCGATATGACCTTTTCGACCATCAATATGGTCAGAAACGACCATATCGGGGTCTCTTAGTCATAGTGGACTGCTCATGGTGACTCTAGGTGACTTCTGACAACTTTTCGTTGCGGTCGACGGTGGTTTGGCTAGCGACAACAAGTGGATAGGGTTGGTGGCTTGGGTAAATTGAAATTTGTTTTGATTTCAAGGGTAATTTTATCCAAAAAGTTAATTAATTAAGGTAAAATGATAAAAACAAGATTTATGTAAATAAATTTAAAAATAAAGATATTATTATCTTAAAATTTTATTAATAAGAGATAAAATTATAATAAATAAAAGGTTATTCAAATAATCTTACAGTACGGTTTTAGAACGCGCAACTTGGGAGCGAGTATATAAGATAGGGTAGGTGAGTAAGTAATTAGAGAAAAAAGGGTGAATGGGTGTGAACGGGGCTGACACGAACAGGAGGATTAATGTCAAATATCCAAATAACAATATGCCAAAACATAATTTAAAATTTTGAAAACAATTATGTACGGCAACAAAAGGTTACCCAATTGGATGAAATGCCGAAAATCGACACCTGTATTCGAATTGACCCGACTCATTCCCGCCAAGTTGCTTCAAAACTAAGGCCTTTATGTGAATTCACTTCTCTCAGACACACGGACCCACATTTTTGGATATTACTCTCTCTGATTTTTTCTTTTCTTAACCCGCGAGTAAAAAGTAGCGGTTATGTTCAAATTGAATTTCAAATTTCTTAATTTGTCTTATTACTCTCAAACCAAGCGCTTTGAATTACATCGTTTTGTCTACAATGTTGCAAGTAACACTCGTTCTACCTTTGAATTGAACCGGGTATTGAATGATTTGTCTAAATCGGGTCGAATCGATGAAGCAAGAGAACTGTTTGACAAAATGTCTGATAGAGATGAATTTACCTGGAACACAATGATTGCTGGTTATGCCAATTCAGGAAGATTAACCGAAGCTAAAAATCTATTTAATGACACCCCATTAAAGAAATCCGTCACTTGGTCTTCTCTCATTTCTGGGTATTGTCAATACGGATGTGATATTAAAGCATTTGAATTCTTCTGGAAAATGCTGATTGAGGGACAAAAGCCTAGCCAGTACACAATGGGTAGTGTTCTTAGGTTATGCTCTTCAAAGGGTTTGCTTCAAAGAGGAGAGCAGATTCATGGGTATGTTATAAAGACTTGTTTTGACTCTAATGTTTTTGTTGTTACTGGTCTTGTTGACATGTATGCGAAGTGCAAGTGCATTTTGGAAGCCGAGTGTCTCTTTAAAATGATGCCTGAAGGGAAAAATCATGTGACCTGGACAACCATGGTAACTGGGTATTCTCAAAACGGTTATGGGTTCAAAGCAATTGAGTGTTTCCGGGACATGAAAGCTGAAGGAGTTGAGTGTAATCAATACACTTTCCCTAGTATATTGACTGCTTGTGCAGCTGTTTCAGCCTGTGAATTTGGAGGACAGGTGCATGTGTGTATAGTTAAGAGTGGTTTTGGAGCTAACATTTTTGTTCAGAGTGCATTGGTTGATATGTATGCTAAATGTAGGGATTTGAATAGCGCAAGAAAGTTGTTAGTGGGCATGGACGTTGATGATGTGGTTTCTTGGAATTCCATGATAGTTGGGTGCGTGAAGCAGGGGTTCCAACAGGAAGCTCTATCTTTGTTCAAGAAAATGCATTCAAGAGAAATGAAGATTGATGATTTCACTTTCCCTTCTGTTTTAAACTGTTTTGCCTCCAATATGGATAAGCAAAATGCAGTGTCTGTCCATTGTTTGATCGTGAAAACCGGATTTGAGGATTACAAGCTGGTGAAAAATGCACTTCTTGACATGTATGCTAAGTTGAGGAGATTAGATTGTGCGGTTAAGTTGTTTAACCATATGCACAACAAGGATGTAATCTCCTGGACATCCTTGGTCACAGGATATGCACACAATGGCTATTATGAAGAAGCCCTCAAATATTTCTGTGACATGAAAATCACAGGTATTTGTCCAGATGAAATTGTTGTTGCCAGCATTTTGAGTTCTTGTGGAGAACTGACAGTTTTGGAATTTGGGAGACAAGTTCATGCTACCTTTCTGAAATCTGGCCTTGGATCTTCTTTATCTGTGGATAATTCCCTTGTAATGATGTATGCTAAGTGTGGATGCATAGAAGATGCCAATCGTGTATTTGACTCTATGAAAGTTCGGGATGTTATTACTTGGACAGCTCTAATAGTTGGTTATGCACAAAATGGAAAAGGAAAGGATTCCTTACAATTTTATCATCAGATGCTTGCTAGTGGCACAAAGCCAGACTTCATTACTTTTATTGGCTTACTATTTGCTTGCAGCCATGCTGGTCTAGTGGATAATGCCCGGCAATATTTTGAGTCAATGGAAAATGTTTATGGTATCAGACCAGGTCCCGAACACTACGCATGCATGATTGATCTCTTGGGGCGGTCAGGTAAACTCGATGAAGCCAAGGAATTACTTGATCAGATGGTTGTAGAACCGGATGCAACTGTATGGAAGGCACTCCTATCTGCATGTAGAGTACATGGGAACTTGGAATTGGGAGAGAGAGCAGCAAGAAAACTCTTTCAATTAGAACCCATGAATGCTATGCCATATGTTCTGTTATCTAATATGTATTCAGCAGCAGGTAAATGGGACGATGCTGCAAAAATTCGAAAGTTAATGAAATCAAAGGGAATAACTAAGGAACCAGGGTGTAGTTGGGTTGAAATGAACAGCCGAGTGCACACCTTCACATCGGAAGATAGAGACCATACAATGACAGCTCAGATTTATTCCAAGATTGATGAGATCATGTTATTGATCAAGGAAGCTGGTTATGTGCCAGACATGAATTTTGCACTTCATGATATGGATAAAGAGAGCAAGGAGCTTGGTTTGGCATATCACAGTGAAAAGTTGGCCATTGCTTTTGCACTTCTGACAGTACCTCAGGGAGTACCAATTCGTATATTTAAGAATCTCCGGGTTTGTGGTGATTGCCATACTGCAATGAAATACATATCAGGAGTTTATCTTCGGCACATTATCTTGAGGGATTCAAACCGTTTTCACCATTTCCAAGAAGGAAAATGTTCGTGTGGAGACTATTGGTAGAAAATAAATCTTGTTCCACAAAGCATTTAATGTGTTAGTTTCTCTTCAAGAGACGCGAAATCAGATGCCGGCTCAGTGGCTGTCAATGGTTCTGCAAATTTTTTCAAAATTCAGCGGCATTTCAAAGCTTTAGAATTTCTCATGATAAGAAACATGTACATTCTTTCTGTTTCTTCTTTATCTATAGGTCAATATTATTAGACATCAATCCATAATATATAGTGGAAAATATCTTCAATAATCAATACTGCTTATATATGAAAAAGAAAAAAGAAAAATTGGATTTACCTAGAATATCCGATGCCAGTCATTTCAAAGCTTGCGTGTTTATTTCTTTGATATTAAAGGCTGATAAAGGTATGAAACCAGCTCGAGTGATTACTTGATGGATTCCTTTCAACAACCATAATGATCTCAACATTGCATCCTTATTAAATTAAAAGTTTTTACAATTTAAGTGGGTTCTTTCAT